ATGAATTAATAAAAAATAATTTGAACAATCATTTTATCCCGTTAAAAGACATAATTCTAATGCTTAACCTCACAATTGTGGAAAATACATTTTATGATCAAAATACTCCTAATGAGACCTCTAAACGTAGGCAAATAGAGAGAGAATTTTATACTTCATAAAACAAGCCTTCATCAAAAGTCCACTTCATTGAGTAACCTCACAAAAGATAACATGTATAAACTCAACTCTTAAGTGTTTTGGATTTATGCATTTTACTTAAGTTCACTTAGCAACCACCTTACCATAGCCTTGTAACTTTTATACATTTCCACCACTTTGTAGTACCTGCATTATGAATCAAGAGGTCTTTCTTTAGGTTGTAATGCAGCTTAAGAAAGATAAACTTGAAATGCATGTGAGAAAGTAAGGGTTAGACATAAAAATGATGCCTTATTTCAAAAACACCTTTCAATGTATAAGGCAGGAAGTAGTTCAAATAGGTAAAAATCTTTACAATAAAGTAATAACTAATAAGCACTAAGGTAACAAGGGTGTCTTATAAGTTAAGCAACTTTTATTCATTTCTTTTCTTTTTCTACGCCTCTCTTTCTATTATTTCTTTTTCTTTTCTTTTCTTTACATTCTTGAACCTCATTTGTTTGTTTCTTTTGTTCTCCTCTTTCTTTTCTTTTCTTTTCAGATTGCTCTAACTTTCTTTAATGGAAACCCTTGTTCCTTTACCATGAATAGGATGACAAATTATAGAAATTCACCTTTCTAACTCTAAAAGAGACCAAGCATCTTAAGAAATAAAAAAGATCGATATGAATTTCTAAAAAATTAGGGTAAAGCATACTTTGAAAGAAATAATCAAAAGGCTCAAAGAGGTTAAACAAAAGGTAGTACTATCAATAGGTTGGCCTTTTGGTCTCTAGCTCAATTTATATGAATACCTTAATCATTTTCAATTAGCAAGCGCAAGATATGGCCTTGAATAAGAAAAGAGACAAGTTCTAGAGGATGAATTAACTAAAGTAAACAATGCATAGTAGAGTGTTAAGGCTCCTTCCATCAAGGGTTATTGTGTTACTCACTTCCATTTACTCAAGATAAAGGTCAAGTTCAATTCCGAACTATTCAAACTCTAAAGCAATTTCATAGCAAGTTTTAAGAATTTCAACCAAAGACTCAATCATTAAAGCAACTTCTAACAAAACAAAACAAGACAAATTAATATTTATTTTATTTTTTTAAATTTTTAGAAATCAAAAGAAAATAAAACTAAATATTTTTGTCTTCCCTTATACCTAAATCATGCATTATTCTCAATGTATCTCTAGACTAATGGCCTCATCAAATAATTGTAAAACGCCAAAGGAAAAGACCTTAATCACAAGGAATGGCCCATCCCACTTGGACTTAAGCTTGGCGATCTTGTGACTCAAAAAAAAAAAAAAAAAAAAAAACTACCTTCCACTATAACTATATATAAAAACAATAATGTTGTTCCAGCTTTACAAGTGGTGCTATACAGGTAGGACAAGTAACAATCTAAAATCTAAATTAGCAACAAATATAATGGTACAATTATATTATATTTATTTATTTTTGTAATATCATTTAATCCTTAATAATTTCATGTTCAAATAACCATAGCTCCTCTCATTATAAGGGACACATAACGAGGAGAAGGAGGTAGGCTTCTTTTTAATCCATTAGTTTTATGAAGTTTCATGCTATTTTATTATGAGCATTTTATTTTTAGTAGATAATATGTTTAATTCATTAAATATATTTTATAATATAATTGATTTCATATAGAATATTAAATTTAAGCAACTAAAATCTTAAAATTTTAGTAACAAATATTGCATAGTATATTATCAATCATATTCTATAATCATAAATTTGATAAATATATAATCTTTTGGTGTATTTTAATTCAATACTTATATTGAAGTATTGATTTTTTTAGTAACACTTTTTTTCATGCTTACAATTGTAAAAATAAATCAAAATTAGTAATATCAAAATTTTAACTAATCTTATAAAAAAAATTTAACTAAAACTTTAAAATTTTTTAAAGTTAATATCATTTATTTTTACTTTGTTATCATATATAGTATTGAATCTTTAAACTTAAATAACAAAAAATATCTTCATGTTTTAAAAACTGTTCAAATAACTTAATAAGTTGATTTAGTTAGAAAATAATCTTACAGGGGATTTGAATTTGTATATAATCTCATCATTGACATTTTTATCAAAAGGTTTTTTTATGATTATAAAAAAATTAATAAATATAAAAAGATATAATAAAATTTTAATTTTTCAAATTTATCTTAATTATTGATTTGGTCGTTGAAATTTATAGACTCTCAAATTTTTATAATGATATATACAAAGACAATTTATTATATATAGTGTCAAGAAAAACATTAGCATAAAATTATTACATTTTTATGATAATAATTAAGTCAATTTCTTATATAAAATGCTCGTCCTGGCTTGGTCTCCATGACCAACTTTATATGACAAATTAGGATAACTTGCACACTTATAAAAAAAATACTGCATGCATAACAAAAAAAAAATTATAATACTTCATTTCTTTTTACCAAAAAAATAATACTGCGTTTAAACATTAAAGGTATATCTTGAATTTTTCATAAAAATATTTAAAAATATTAATTTTGATGTATAAGTGTTAATCTTGGTTCTATCTTGCAGAAAGGATTATCTATTTTTAATGTGTTTGATTGTTATTTTTTTTATTGAAAGATAATTTATGAAAAAACGTGTTGACTTTGTAAAAATGATATTTTTTCTAATATATATATATATATATATATATCTATATATGTTTGTATGTATTTTTAATTATTTTTTGAATCTAAAAAAATCTTGGAAGAAGGAAAAAAATCAAAACGCAAATCATTTTTTTGGTCGCCCAAGTCAAATCATTATAAAACACAAATTTTAATTAGAATTCCAAACAAGATGTTTAGGAAGGGAAAAAAAAAACAAAGTTGATATGGATCAATTAAAAGGATCGAGAGAAGAAAAAACTCAAAAAAAAGATAAGCCAACAGTAATTTTTATTTAATTAAATGTACATCTACAAACTAAATGAGCTAAAGCACTATTTTTAAACTTTGAACTTAACTTTAGAATTAAATATGAAAAATTCTTAAAATCTTAAAATTAAATGAAAATATAATAATAATTCAAATATTATAAGAATTAAAACAAATTATTCATAATTAATAAAATATTATTATAAATATCTTTGATCTTTCAATTATCTTAAATCTTTAATATCTTTAATTTTTTTTTCTTCTCATCAAAAGTTTAAGTGGGTTAGTCTAGGAACTTATCAAGACTATTATATGTTTTCGAGCTCTAAAAAGTTAAAAATTCATGAGATAACGAGTCTCAAACTTTGCCCAAAATAATGGTTTGGGCCAATTTGTTCTACCAATTGAATTTAAGTTTTGCCCTACATAACAAGAGTTGGTCATTTCCTTTCTAAAGACATGAAAACCTAACCCAATCTCAAGTTGCTGTATATAACCACAGTCCAGAACTACTTTTTGATTAAATTTCTTTATCTTCTATAATTATCAAATCATATATAGATGCACCCTCCATTTAAAATTATAAGTTTTTTTTTTCGAGGAGCAAATGAATAATTAATTAGATTTTTTCTAAAAATACCCTCAATAAATATTCAAAATTAAGGATATATATTTTCATATTTATTTGTGATCAATGGTTTTCTAAGAGAATCCAAGTTAGTTAAGAAAGTCTTATAATTTTGAATGAAGAGAATATATATGTTTTATAAGTATAAATTTAAAAAGGAGAGCTATCAACCTCACTTCTTTTGTGAGGTATCTAATGTATGACTCATAACAATATTACCTCTATTTTATAGTCGACATTTTTGGAAGCTCTACTCCATGAAACTTTACTTAATCTCTTATTGGTCAAAAGCTTCTATGAATAACCTTTTTTATGACATCATTCTCTTATGAAGGTATTAGTATTATTAGCACAAGTTCAAGGAGAGAAAGTTTATTTCAAAAGAATAGCACGTTGAGAGGAAATGCCCCTCAAACTAATAAATTCCACTCTTTTGTGAGGCTCTTCCATGTATCACTCCTAAGAATGTTTTAATATAATTTTAATTATTTGTAATATATTTGAATAGTTTTAAGTTTGAACATTGCATTTCTTTCATTCATATTTCACTCTCCTATTTAATGTAATTTTAATTTAGTTTGTTGCTAAATTGTTGTAACGTAGATGAAACATGTTGCTGAAATTTGTTAAATGTTGTTGTTGTTGTTATTGTTGAAATTATGAATTTGAATCATTTGAATTATCACTAAAATATTTTTTATTGTTTTTTTTGTTGGAGGTTGTTACGGATTTTTTATTATTATAATTATTTTTATTATCTTAATTAAATTTATCAACATGAAATGAATTGTTGCCTTTTATAGAGAAAAAAAAAAGTTAAGAGTACTAAACTACTGAGACTAGTATCTTATTAATTTTTGGAATACAACTGAACTAAATCAGCCTACGAGTTGCCTAACTCAATTATTTTCATAAAAGAGATTAGATTTTAGATTAAGCTAAAGTCTGATTTTATCTAATCTTTTGTGCAACCTTGTAGAATGATCATCATTTTACTTTTTAAAAAATTATATTGACCATATTAATATGATCTTTTATAAAAATATAATTTTCATATCTTATTTTGATTATTAAAATATTACATATCTAATAAACTTGAGTCTAAATATTTTTTATTTAGTTTAGAGATGCAAAATAATGAGAGTAGGGGTTGCAAAGTTAAAAAATTTACAATGGAAGCTCACAAACACAAACACCCTCAAATGATTCATTTGAATACCCATGACCCATTTGTTTGACATCTACAAAACCAAAGGTTGAGTCATAAAACACCAACTCAAGAGGTGAGCACCCATGATTATCAATCCAAATAATTCAATTTCCTCTAATTCTTGAGATCTTTCTTGTTTGTTTCAATAAGATGATTAAAATGCATTAGACACACTGCTCTCCTCTATCATGTCATACAGAAATACATGCGCGGGTCCGTGTGCGTATAACACTTCTAAAATCTTTATTGTTTGATAATCCTTTTGTAACAATTCAAGGCTTATTTTCTGCCTCACAGCATCATAGACTTGAGACTTATTTCCTGCTTCCTTGTTTCATAATTTATTCTACATGGGACCTCCAACTTGAAGCTTGTTGAGGTCATCAACATTTAATCATTAAAGAATTGGATTAGAACTTAACAAATCTCTTCTTCTTCAAACTTTCCACAGTCTCCTTGAGACTCACATCCAAAGGAATAAATTCAATTCCCAAACTCTTTGCCTTCTCTTTCGAAATCTTATGCTTTGGCATCAAAGGTTTAGCATCTACACACCTGACAGGATTTTTGAAAAGAAAAAGAAAACGAAACCAGCATGAGTCAAACGAATTCAATAAACAAGGAGCTACAAATCTTAAAAAAGTTACAACTGCAATTCGTGGTACCATCCAATATCATAGAACTTGTTGTACAGAAAAATATGGTTGAATTTGTCAAACACAGCATAATCTTATGTATTTCTATCCCATGTAGGATGTATGAAAACATGTTTTCATTACCTAGTGTGACATGCTTATAGTTTAGGTAAACATTGAAACAATTTAGAATAATGCAGAACTCAATTGAATATTATAAAACGCATGACAAATGCACCTCAAGCTTGAATGAACAAAAAGATCAGCCTATATACAAGAATGAAAATTGGTATTTATGTATTATATACACTATTGAGACAATAGAACAAACAAACTTACCTCGCTGGAAGTTTGAACTTTGGGTACAGTTCATGCAAAATCTTTACGACATCTGCGTAGTGTGCGACTGTCTCAACCAAACAATATCTTCCATTAGCTAAAGGAACCTCAAATGCTTGAATGTGGGCATTTGCAACATCTTTTACGTTGATCCATTCTAAAGTAAAATTTGGAAATGTTTGTGCACCTACATCAATCAAACAAGCAAGTGATCAGTCCATTTATGTAGCAACGTTCAAATCTTCCACATTGCTGATTCCCTTGTATTTGGCAATATAACAACTTAAATATATATCCATATGATAATCATATGCTTATTGAAGGAATAAATGATCCAAAAAGAAACTCTGTAGACAGTAACTAGGTTTCTGTGAAACATGACAACTTTAGTTGCCGGCAAGTTGTGTTCTTCTGAGGTCAAATTGGAAATCCAAATAAGTGGTTTATTTCCCATCTTCTATGATAGTTTCAGTCCATGATTTCCTTTGCCTCCTCAAAGCCCTAAACTTGATATCTAGAAAAGCCCATAGATTAGATGGCAAACCCAGTTGTTCTTGAAGAAACTAAACAGTTTATAACAAATCTCCAAGCCACTTAACAACGAAGAAATAGATGTTTGTCTTTGAACTTTGGTAATACAACAAAAACATCCAGTAATAAAGCCCTATCAGCGTATGAGTTTGAAGCAGATCATTAGCATGAATCCTACAAAGTACCATTGTAGCCTTTTCCCTTGATGGTCTTTCCAAGAAAAAAAAAAAAAAACTTTGGCCAAATAAAACAATGAGTATTGGGCTAATTAAAAAAAAATATTAGTATTGGACCTTGGAATTAAATATTTGAAGAAAGAAGAAAAAGAACTTGAGGATTCTAAATTCTAAATTTTCTACCGGGCAAAGAAGAAGCACAGAAGAGGGCGATTGTTTCCTGCATTAAAGCAAATTCATCAACCAGTCCAGTTGGCCATTAAGATTTCTAGAAAAATGAAAATACCAAGAATGGCTGACTTGTTAAAGTGCTGAACTTCTAGCATTATATGCAAGGAAGATAAAACAAAGAAGGCGTGGAATTTCTTAAAATCCAGTGATCCTTGCATAATGAAACTGGTTTCCATCTCTTAAACAGAAAGCATTAAGTTAAGAAAGATATACCTAAGAGATAGACTTCAAAGGGCTTGAGTTAGAAGGCACCAATCCCAGGGTTAGCATCCCAACCATTTTGTTGAACTCCCTGGTTGCTCCTAATCACCGTATGCCACAATAAAGTAGGCTACAAATGAAGCTGCTAAAACCACTTAACCACTAGTCACTAATTACTAGGTCAACTCTTCTACTCTCATAATCAAGACTACAAAAGATCCTGCTCAATCTTCGGTAAGCTACCCTAACTAGAATCTTGAACATAAAAAGATGAAACAGAGGATACTGGAAGAGGGAGCCTGGATTAAGGTAATCCTCCTACTAAGACAAAATATAAGCCCCTTTGCAGATCTCTAATATTTTTGAAATCATGTATACCATTTTTTTTTTTATGCGTAAAAATCTTCTATACTGTTGGAACCCAAAAAGAACTAGATATGCCAGATTGATCCCTAAAGGAACAACCAAATAAGCATTGAGAAACCCCACTACTGGCCACCTCTAACAAAATCGACCACTAAGACATCCTGTTCTAATGCCACACGCAACCTCAGAATTTGAAACATGGAATAAGCATGATGAAAACTTCCTTATTACGGGAAGGGAAAAAATTATTGTCATCTGAAATTGTAGATGCTCAAGATATTTCAAAGTTAAAATCACTTCAAGGTGGACTGTACTTGATTGTAACAATGCACAAGGAAATGCAGCACACGCTATTACCCATGGGTAATGCAGAGTTTCGGAATATTTCTCTCTTAGAAGCCTTTTCTATTCACGGTTTCATCATTTCTGGAAATTTCACTTCACTTATATTTACTCTAAACTAGGGACAAATTCATGTCAATGTCTTTTCTTATGAGTCTTATTTTCAATTTTTACTCATTCTACTAATAGGGAGAGTTCTCTTTTTGAAAATCCTTCAATAAAAATTTCTTCAAGGTCAATTTTTTTTTTTTTTTTTTGCCATAATGCTCAACGAGATGAATGATATTTACAATAACAATAGAAGGCCCCCATCTTTTACTAGGAGATCTTGAACAACATTGTCTGTATTCTTTCACTTTCAAGCAGTTTTTTGCATATGGTCTCAGAAAGAGGAAAGAGATAAATTTTTTGCAGCAGCAGGTGGTTTCTTTGGTTAGCTGGCAAGACTTTCCCCGTCTTCAAGGTTGTCTCTCTGGTTAAATTAATATAGTTCTCATTTTCTTATTCCATTTTTAATTCAATATATCCAGAAAAAAGAAATTCAGTTGAAATAGTCAAGTAATCGACATGCAGACAGGCACTCAACTGGATTTCTGTAAGGATGAATCATGTAGAAAATTAAATTTACCATTTATTAGGTTTAAAATTGCAGCAGCACTTGCATTAAGCGTAGGTTGCAAGAGTGGCCCTATTACCATTCCTGGGTTGATAGAAACCATGTCCATGTTGTTTTTTTCTACAAATTTCCAGGCAGCATCTTCAGCTAAAGTCTTGGAAAGTACATACCAGAGCTGAAAGCCCAAAAGAGCAAAAAGCAGAAAAATTGAAAGCCATTAGAGAATATGGTGACAATGGCAATCATCATAATTTCAGACACTGAAATTTGGAATAAATGCATTGACATTATTGCTTAGCAGCAATTGTCAAGTGCATGAAATGTTGAAAGTACTATGCTGTTACAACATGAACTTAGTAAGGAAAGCAGCTGAAGCAGTTTAACATGTTTAATGGACAATCTATACATCACAATTCGATTGTAAGATCTCAAAATTTCTCTATCTTCTCTACCTTTTGTACTCTTTGTTTTTATTTAATGAAATTCACTTTTACAAAAAAAAAAATCTGGAAAAACAGTGCTTTTCATTTTTAGTTTAAATGTGACAATTCAGCATAAGTGAAGAGACCACTGCCCATGGAGTCCACTTAACCATACAATGGAAAGGCATGCAAAAAGAATTTTATGTTTAAAACTTGCCATCACAATGTCATGAAGCATTTGATACGATCATATATTCAACCCACATAAAAAGACTGTGCATACCTTAGATTCCCTACAGAAATCAGGATTCGAAAACCATGTCTCATCAACAATATCTTCAGGGTTTCTTGGCTTTCCAGTGTATGTAACTGCAGCCATAGACGATGTTAAAACAATTCGTTTCACAGATGGAGATTTTGCACATGATTTAAGAACATTGAGAGTTCCCTTGACCGCTGGGTCAATTAGTTCAGTCTGAAATGAGTGAACAAATAATTAGAAGCTAGTAATAAGGCAATTTTTCTTTTGGATTAATAGTTTGATGACAAAACTAATCAGGGTAACCTGGGAGACGATTTAAATGCACAGCCCCTCTTCTACTATAAAAATTACTCTTACCAAAACTTTTTTTCTTAGACAACATAAGTGGTTGTCAAACTTGTGAGTTTTATGCATTCATGAGACTAACAACTCTTCAACAAAAGAATTGAAACAATACTAAGTAATATGATTGAGCATGTCCATAGACCATAACAAATATTGGCAATAAAAGTTAACAGATCAAAAACAAAAATGTTAAATAAAAAATGAGCCAAAACGGCAAAGCCCAAAGCTACACTATCTTAGCTCCAACTATAGAGAACGAGAACTAATGTAGTTATGCTTCTCTTCAATTTTCTGGTTTTTTAACCATATACATAATGGATAACAGAAACCTAAGGCAAGGTAATCTGGCACTCTATTCTTCATAATGATTTTCTCAAAACACAACCAATCAATGAACTGGAAAAACAGTTAACTATCTAATAGCATGATCGAGGTGGTACAAATTGTTTCAAATTTATATATTCAAAATATGGTCTTTAAATAGTATCATAAGCTATGGTTAAACAATCCTTTATAAGTAATATAAAAGCACATTGAAAATTTTAGACGATACAAAACATTAAATTACTTCAAAATTTATTAAAATAACCAACATTTTAACATCAGCCTCATTAGACATTTTTTGTCAAACTATATATTGACATTTTTTCCCAATATATATTCCAAATAAATACATTCAGAGGAATATTTAGAATACTTGTTTCGAACAATCATCTTTATGTAAAATAATTGTTTTTTTTTTTGGCAAACAAAAATTTTAGGTGAGTTGCGTCTGGAGAGTTAACCAGGGATAAGGCTCCACTTAACTTAAAAAATGCTTACAAAAATACATATAAATTATCAATTAGCAAAGTTTTCACTTCTCCCAGCCCACTCCCATGTGAGGGTAACATTGATTAGCTTCTCTCTCACACACATAAGTGCACATATGCGTGCATGTGTGTATGTCATCAATATCCACTAATAGAATAAAAGTGACAAAGTTGCATGGTGGTGACTTTCCTGTTTCTGAAAATCATGGTTCTACTAGGTTCATGACCTACAATGACCAAGTAAACTACACATTGATCTGGTCTAGTTCTTATAATACTGCTTTATAGAATAATTGCATATTTGTTCAAAACTTTGCCCAATAATAGCCAATGGGAAACTTAAAAAGGTAGCGAGACATCACAATTAAATCTGAGAGTACATATATAGTGAACAAATCATATATATCTACAAGCTACTGACTATTGCTATAACATGCTGAGGACAAAAAAGGGAAAATTTCTGAGGTGGGTCAATATGACAATCTATATACATTTGGAAAATAAAAATCAGTTTATCACGTTAAATGAAAAATTAAACTTTAATTTCTTGTTCTCATGCTATAAGGCCATTTGGATATCGAAGAAAGAATACCATTTTAATTTTTCATTTGGAAATGCATAAAAGACTCTCTCCCTTAAATCATAAAGGGATAATTTAATGGTTCTAAAAACTAATTAAAGCATTAAAAATTGATTTGCTATAGGAAGACTGCATTTGATTGTCTATCAATAGCTTTAGAAAGGGATGAACCTGTGGGTCTGCGACATTATGATAAAAGGGGGATGCAGTATGGAAGACCCCCTTACAACCCGCAACAATCTGGTCATAGGAACCTTCTTCTAGAAGATTTGCTTTAACCAGGTTAAGTCTCTCCTTTGCACCATCAAGTTTTTGCAAATGGTCTACCTTTCTTGGATCACCTGCATGGAAATACAAACCATAACAGATTGATAACTCAAACTGCTATCGGATAGCATGTAAAATGGTACTGATTCATTCAAAAAGTATAGAAAATTAGAGAACAACAAAAGAAATCTTTTACCAATTCATTGACCAAATCTTCCCTGACATCTGCACTGCATTTTATTCATTTATACCTACTGCACTCATATTTTCACTTATGAACACATGAATTCACTTTCATAATTAAAAAAAAAAAAGTTCTTGAAAGCCACAAGGATACGTCCAGAATTTTACAATTGTCAAACACAATGTCCATGGCAAAAGAAATATCAGAGCCATAGACTCCCTTCACAGGAATTCTATTTTTTTTTTTTTAATTTGAGTTGATGGCAGTGAAATGCTTAGTAGGAGCCAAAATAGAGGACTTGGAGATATAAGAGGCATGAGTGAAAAGGATTGACATATCTAGCCGATGTGTTATATATCTAGTTGCTCAATACTGGGTTGCAGGATCTAAATCAGTCTAAGGTGTCTTCAGACAAAATGAGAGATCCAAGCAATTATGTCCTTTTGCTCCTAAGTTACTGAAAAAAAAAAAAAATACTTCACTTTCTAAGTCAGTGTTCTTAGACAGGTTAAGAGGGGGTTTAGCCCTAGAGATTATGCCCTCATTCAAGACCAACAGAGCAGGGACGTATCTAGTGGGGGCAAAGGGGGGGGGATCACCCCCCCCCCCAATTTGATTGGTCCTTGGAAAATTTTTAAAAAAAATATTTTGCTTGTAAAAAAATGTGAAAACCAGCCCCCCCCCCCAAAAAAAATGCTTTCATTCCTGGATTTGTCCCTGCAACAGAGCATATGGAGAAGTGCATTGCTACTTTGATAGCATAGGTGCTCTGAGTGGATTGACATGGACCAAAGATCGCTCACAGTACTCAAATACCACTCACGGGGGGCCTTTGTTTCCTTTTATGTTGGCTGATATTCTGTGGCCTTTAATTCCTTATATGTTGAGGATTGATTAGGCTAATTTTCTGTGCTGTGCTTTCTCTATATATTGCAGCTTCGATTTTGGAATAAAATAAAAACTTTCATGTCGAAATTCTTCGGCTAAAGTCACATTGTCACTTGCAAACCGCATTGTCAGCTTTCTGACCAACTAAAAAGCATGACTTGCTCAGGAATCTGTAACTCATGACTTGCTCATCCCATTCATCATCATCATCTACTTTCCAAATTCAAAACATCTTTATTTCTCTGCTTTTTCCACCCCAGGAATCTATAACTCAATTTTGGGGCAAACAGCCCACCTGCAATCCCCAATGGAAGCATGCATTCCCTTACATATTATGCATGCCTTTTAACCTTTACATGCATGGCTCAGCCCCACTTGGCACATTCATTTGCATTAAATGCCAGTCCACCTTTCCCGTACAATACATGGAACTTCTTAACTCTCAACATTCATAGTTCATAGTCAAACAACTCCAAACTTTCTGTTACCCCATCGAAATTATTCCTAATCATAAGTGGTAACTCTTGTAATTTTAAGCTCAGAGAAAACCACCTTAAACCATTGAAGATCCTTTCTGTTTCTGGAAAAGAGGTAAGATAGAGGTCAGTCAAAAATAACTTTATTTTAGAGGCAGGTTATTAGAAGTAACGCCTCATTCTTCTCATGTTAGTCCTCCCATGAACGTTTTCCATAATACTCTGGGGCTCCTCACTCTTATATTCCCAATTCAGAGAAAACTAACAAAACTTTGCCTTTTACCGTCCATTTTTCGCATTTCCATCTCCATCCAGCACATCTTTGACGCTTTCATATCTCCATGCAAACCCGGTTGCATTGGACCTTCCCTTACTTCCAATTGTCAAATTACCATTACAGAACGTTACATTGGCCCGTCCGCTAATGACAAGAAAATCAAAATTCGGAAAAAGGGCGTAAAGAAAACACTTAAATTACAGAAGAGTCGTGACCAGAAATATACGAAACACAAGGAACCAGTTCACACAAATTTTCGCGAATTATCGGAGAAAAATCAGACGATATAAAGGCGCATGCACTTACTTGGGTCGCGAACAGTGGCCCTGACCCTGTAACCTCGATGCAGGAGGAGCTTGACGAGCCAGGAAGCGATGTAGCCATTGGCACCAGTAACGCAGACGAGGGTTCCTTCGTTGCTATTGCCGCCGCCGCCGCTCATTCTCTCTCGCTTTCTCCTTCATACCCTCTGCTTGAATTGGTAAATCAAACCGTTTTGCCCTATTTTGACGGCTTTGATATCCACCAATTCTTACGATTATTCCTGGCTTGACCACCTTTTCTTCATCTAGACAGAAATCAAATTATTATGTGCCCCGAAGAGCTCTGAATTTATGTGCATATTCTTCGAAGACCATGCAACATTTATACAACCTTGCATTGCATTGCATGCATGCAAATGTAATTGTCAAGCTTGGATAGCGTGCACGTGCTAATGACATTTTTCATATGTGTACTGTACAAATGTTGGCAAAAAATAGGACTATACGAATTAAATTTGTATGGTTCAAATATAAATATTTATAACTATTAATTTCTTAATTAAAAATATTTGTTGACAGATTAATAGTTGAAATATTGTTTTTTATTTAAGATTCTGTATATGTTAAAATAAAAAATTATTTAAAATATAAAAAATAATATTAAATCCAAATCGTGCATTTTAGTTCAAACTTTTGACCAAATATGTTCAATTATTGTTAATCACACACACACACACACACACACACAATCTTTTTGGACCCTTCTTAAATTTGGGTTAAATGGCTCTTAAGCTTCCAAGCATGATACGATTGGCTCTTAATTGGTCACGAAAAGAAAATGATCAAAAATTTAACAGAGGTTAACAATGTAATTATTTATTATGCACCAACATATCGATTGAACCAAAAGAGAAATTAACAAAAGCCTTGTCTCCCAATTATTTCTTCCCAAACACGGCAGATTGTGTCACAAAGGAGATAGGCTTGGTTAACACCAAAGATACAATTTCTTAAAGCATTGTTTAGGTTTTCAACATTTATTTTTAAGAGAAGGATCACAAGTTCAAAACTAAAACTGGACAAATTTCTTCTCCTTCAAGCTTTCCACTGTCTCTTGTAGACTCGCTTCAAATGGAATAAACTCAATCCCCAAACTCCTTGCCTTCTTTTTGGAAAACTGATATGTCGGCATGAAGGGTTTGTCATCCACACACCTAACAAGTTTAATGAGAACAAGAAATGAAGTTAGCAATAATCCATATTTACATATGATATAATGCAAAATATCTAAAAAAAAAAACCACACTATTCATTAGCCATGATGAAGATTGCGGCTAATGAATAATGTGACTCATTATTTAAACTCCGTTACAAAAGCTTGGAGTAAATGAAGAATGCTGAGATAGTTAACAGTAAGAAGTTTGGGTGATCAAATATGATTGATCCAAGAAGTGACAATTGCTATGACAAGAAGTAAAAGCAAAAGGAATCGTGAACATCAACATTCAAGAAAAGTTTCTTAGGCTTTCATCAGTTTTTCACAAACCCCGCCAAAAGAAAAAAAAAAAAGATGACATATTAGAAGATCTATTTTTAAAGGAATCACTTGATACTGAGCAACAGAAGATATCAGCATATCAATTTTCTACTGGAGTTTTTTTTGTTTTTTTTTAAGAACACCCAATATCATGGACCCGTTCCACGTCGAGCTTTAAAAGGCCCAAATTAATTCAAATCAAGATGATATGAAACTCTTTTGGATGGAGGCTCTACCACCAACGCTACTGCATTCCTAGAGCTTGAATTTGAAACCTTTAATTAAAAGGGTCCAAACTCCTTTACCTGTTGAACCATGCGTCCGGTGGCAGGAATTTATTTTTTTAATGAAAGGCTATGACTGACCATGCACAAGAGCCGGCTAAGAAAAATAGGTTATTCCATAAGTAAAATTCTTAAATTAATAATAAACTAAACCTAAATAATTAAACTAATCCTAACTTCAAGTAGCAGGAAACATAAAACAGGAAACAATCAAAAAAAGCCTAATGGGAAACAAAATAAAGCTTAAAAATAATAATGCTAACATATTAAACAAATATTTCTTATGTCGCATCACAAATCCTTCCCAATATCCCACCAAGAATTAAATTGATTTGCTATTTGCATGAGTGCGTGAGGAGTCTGACACATGAAAATTTGAATTCATGCTATAATCATTCTTGAAATGTAGAAATAACTAACTTACTTCTCTGGGACTTGTAATGTTGGATAAAATTCGTGCAAAATCTTCACAATGTCTGAGAAATGTACCACTGTCTCAACCAAACAATACCTACCTTCCACTAGCAGAAGAAATCTCTAGTGCCTGAATATGAGCATTTGCAACATCTTTCACGTTGATCCACCCGAAAGTAGAATTCGGAAATGTTTTTGCACCTACACCAAACAGGCTTGGTAAGAATCACTATAAGGAGCAATAAACAATTATTTTCTAAGAGCCAAAACAAGCGATAATTTAACACGCATTCAAATCAACCAAAAACTCAAAATTGTAATAAAGTAAATATATATTCAATTATATTATTCTAAGAAAAATTAATGATAATATGAGATTTAAAGACAATTTGCAGGAGAAAAGTTAAAGATTATAACCATGCTTTTTTAAAAGATGAAACTATAGTTCTCAACCAGAATTTCATCTCCCATGCACTATATGGGAATCTACAAAGAAGTAGCATTTTAAAAGTCAGCCGAATTGTGTCTAATACGTCTAACATGTACCCAAGACAATGAAATGCTTCAAATTAAACAGAGCATCATATGTTTTGTTGTGATTTTTGTGTCATGCACGTCAATATCTATGTTTCCTAGGTAAGAATTCAAAGAAGTGGTCTTCTTTACCTCTACGGGAACAAATAATCTTCTTCCTTGGCTTCAAGGGAGAGTTTTTATCAGTAAAACATATAAAATGATTGGATGCCCTTTTCCAACGGTAAGTTATTAGAATTTGATGTTTATAATTTTGTGTCTTGGTTTTCTAGAATCTTATCATTACTCTCTCCAATCCTAATTATAAAACAAAGTTTTATAGCCCCATTTAATCCTAAATATAGAGAAAAGATGTAGTAGTCAATTATTTTTTCCAATATTACCCCTCCTTAGTCAGATCAAGTCGTTGGCAAACTTCTAATTCTTAGATACACTTTATTGTAGTCATTAATTCAAGTCAAGGGTTAAATTGGAAACTCAAATATTTTTTACAAGTTTAAGGATATTAATTGCCATTCTTTAAAAACTGCTAAGTATGTTCGTTAATGCTGCCCTATAATTAGGATTGGAGGGAGGAGTTACCTTATCGATGTATTGACAGGATATCTACTTCAAGGTATGGCAATTTTGTGTGGGGAGCCTTATCACCTAAAGGAGTAAAAATTGATACAAGTAATGTTGAACTGGGATTTAGGGAGTCTTGTTGCCTCGTTTTATACGTAAGCCTTCTCTGTCCACAATGAAAATAAACATTCAAAGCAATAATTCTTCTGAAGTTAGACATCGGTTCTGTGCTATAGATTTTTTTTTTCTTTTACAGAAAAATTAAATCATGATCTTTCCTTTTTTAATCTTAGCTTTTCTAATTTCAAAACAAAAAAGGATAACGGCATTGAAGAGGTCTGTGGCCATATATAGAGAAGGGAAAGTACTCTACCAACAACAATTAGATATTTAGATACCACTTTCCTTTTCTATAACTAAAGCCAGAAAAAGCAATTTAGTTGAAAAGATCAAGCAATCTAGGTGCAGATAAATCACGCAACAGGAATTTTGTAGTGTGCAAAGCATCAACTTGATGAGTCTACAGAAATTACCATTTATTAGATTCAATATTCTAGAAGAACTGTCGTTAAGTGATGCTTGCAAGAGGGGTCCAATCACCATTGCTGGGTTTAGAGCAACCATGTCTACGCTGTTCTCTTTTGCAAATTTCCAGGCAGCATCTTCTGCCAAAGTCTTTGAAAGCACATACCAGAGCTGAAAGCACAAACAAGCATAGGAGCTAGGAAACTTGAAGAGCATTATAGAATACTATTTGTTACAAATTCTGTATTGGCACATAATGGATCCATTAGTACTATTGTTCAGCAGCAGTATTCTATAGTATGCGAGGTTGAATGTACCAAGCTGTTATCAAATAAACTGATTAGGAAGACTGCTAAAGCATTTAGGCAAGTTTAATAGGCAATTTCCGTATCAACAGACTACAAGCAATTGGGTTTAGTAATAAAATATTTTGATGCAGAATGAGGTCAGAAAAACATTGACCTATGTGTGTAATAAGTTGAGTTCTTTTTTTTTTTTTTTGACCAGTTGAGTTGAGGTTATATGTCTCTCATATTATAGGCCTAGAACCAAGAAAGATAATAGTATCCCTGAGGATAAGGAAGGATAAGACCTAATGCATATTCATAATATATAGAAATCCCCGATAACCGATAAGTGCCAACGAGAAAGATAGATAACTACCTGATAAAAGAAGAAATACTAATAAACTGAAATTATGTAAGGGAAACATGAGGAATCCCATAACCTCATTACCAATTTCCCATAAGTACATTAAATGTTTGGAGCATATACAAGTCAAATAGGATGCAAACTCCTGAAAATGCCCAGCATATCAACCTTGATTGAGTGTACCTTGTTTACTCTCTTCTTTTCTAACACAGTGACAAGGCTTCTTTTCAGAGGTGGTAAATTAAGTTCACTCCAAATGAAAAACAAGGGAGATAATTTTGAAACAAAAGCCCAATTGGTTATAAACATTGTGCTTTAAATTAAAACCACATTTTAATGTTTTTGCTCCGTATTATGTCCATGACAACAGTCAAGCAGCTGTCTTCAATAATTAATATATTTCAGCAAGAAGAGCAACGTTTTTCATCTTAGTTCAAATGTGTCCCACAGTTCAAATGCTTGTAAGCAATCACTGCTCACAGAATACACTTGCCTGGTTATAAAAACATAAAATCATGCTGTTCTGATTAGACAATGTGCAAGATTTGCAAATGGCATTTAGATTGAAAATTAGCTATCCCAACTCTGGGCACCACATGCAACTTGCAAATAATTCAAACTTCAATACAGTGTAACTATAATGAAATATAGTACAAACCTTATGTTCCCTGCAAAAATCTGGATTTGAAAACCAAGTCTCATCAACTACAACTTCAGGAGTTCTAGGCTTTCCATTATATGAAACTGCAGATGTGGAAGAAGTTATAACAACTCGTTTCAAAGATGGTGATTTTGCACATGA